CAATATACACTGGCATTAAAAAACGAAACTAAAAAAAAAAAATGAAACTAAATTGGGCTGGGGTTGTGGCTCAGAGGTAGAGTGCTTGCCTAGCATGAGTGAAGCACTGGATTTGATCCTCAGCACCACATAAAAATAAAATAAAGGTATTGTGTCCACCTATAACTAAAAATAAATAAATATTTTTTTAAAAAAAATGAAACTAAAAGAAAGAAAGAAAGCAAGCAAGCATCTTCCAACTAGAAAATTTTAAAAGTTCCTAAACAACACCTGGATGAAAGGAGCCACAACGAGAAAATAAAAAATTTCTGAAAAATAAAGATAATGAAAATACTGTTATCAGAATCTATTACATTTAATGCAATGATCAGAGAAAAGATCAGAATCTTAAGACTTTTAAATAAAAGCCAAAATAAAATTTCCTTTATTTTGAGGCAAAGAACCTCAATATACAGCAAAAATAGACAAAAAGGAGAAATACTGAAATATAAATATTAATGAAGTAGAAAAAGAGAAAAAAAGACCAAATCAATAAATCAAATTCTAATTCTTTGAAAAAAAATCATTAGCTAATTTAATTTAAAAAAAAGGAACAAAAGAAATGGCAAATAACACAGAGCAAAAAAATTTTTTTATCATAAAAGATCAGTATCTATACTTCCATACAAATAAATCTGAAAACCTGGATGAAACAGATAACCTCTTAGAAAAGCAGAGTATGTCCAAACTCACCCAAATAGCAATATAAAATTAAAACACACCAATTTCCATATAAGACAGACTAGTATCAAGGAACCAGCACAAGTGAAGACACACATAGTTTGCCTTGGTGATTTCACTAGATAATTGTACCAAATCTTTAGAGACCAGAGAGTCTCAAAGTTATATGAATTGTTTTATGATACAGAAAATCAAGGAAGACTTATAAATCCTTTTTATGAAGTATGATATCATTAATACCAAAACTTGATTAAAATCGTACATAAAATAAAATCATTTAAATATTGTTGCAAAGATCCTAAGTAAAATATTAGCAGACAGACTCCAACACCACATTAATGATATGTCAAGAGCAAGTAGGGTTCAAACTAGTAATGCAAGGATAATTCAGTAATAGGAAACTTACTAATAAAATCTACCATGCTAATAGAACTAAGAAGAAAAATTATGATTATTTCCATATAACAAAAAAGACTTTGATAAAACTTAAACCCATTCCCAGCCCAATCCCATTTTGGTCTTGTAAAATCCTTGATCCCAAATTTTTACTCCAAAATCTCATTTCTATTAATTTACCTTGAAGATACACTTCTAACAATACTAAAATAAATATGCTTAAAAGTTATAAAGTACATTATACTCTATAATTACAAAGTAGCCTAAATGATCCAAAATAAGAGAGCAGTTGAATAAACAATGGTACAGGTATATAATGGTGTGCTATATAACTGTAAGAATGAGGACGATCTCTTTGAGTTATATGAATAGATGCCTAGAAAAGAGTATCTTTGGTATATTACCATTGAATAAGAAAGAAGGGAAATATAAAGTAACATAGAGATGGCAACTTATTAAAAAAAATAGCCCCCCAAAGGATCAAAAAGAAAAAACAATTTACCCAAAATAGGTTGGTAGAAAAAGATAAAGGGAAAGAGGAGGAAATGACACTTCTGAGTACTGTTGTTCCTTGGTATCCATGAGGCACTGGTTCCAGGGCTCCCCACCTCAGCAGATACCAAAATCCAGGAAGGCCTCTATTCATATAACTCAAAGAGATCTTCCCTTCTGTGAAATAGCATAGAATTTATATATGACCTACCCATATCCTCCTATACACTTTAAATTATCTTTAGATTACTTATAGTACCTAATACAACACAAATGTGTAATTGTTGTACTATATTTTTCAGAGAATGATAAGAGCAGAGTCTGTACAATGTTCAGAAAAAAATTTTTGTTTTCTGAAATATTCCAATCTGCAATTGGTTGAATCCACGGATACAGAAGGCTGATTATATAGGTGCCTCTGAACAGTTTAGATGTTTGCATGTTAATGTTTTATATTAAATCAGAAAAGATAAGGATGGGGGACCTAAAACTGAATGCAACATAGCCAAACAACTAAACCCAGCCACATATTAAATGAACATGACAACCACTCCAAAGCAAGGGTGAAAGGATAACTAATCCAAGTAACTTTTAAACACAGTACCCTAGCTGTATATCCAGGGTAAAAAAAGGGAACTACAAACCAATCTGGAAGTTTTTAGTAAATTTATTTTTATAGTCATGGCAATTCCAAAACTATTTAATGTATTGTAAGATAGAGGCAAAAATATTAATTTGTTGAGATTCAGGATTCTCCAGGGCAAAAAGGAAGATACAGATGTAGAATGGGGAAAGCAAAGAAGAACTCTATGGGGCTGGACTAAAACTGGAAGTATCAGTATAAATTCATGACAATATTTGTGTATGTACCTGTATCCTTTATCTAACATGTAGATGATATTCCAATTCTGCTAATTGTTCCAGCTATCTCCTCTACAGCATCTTTTCCCTTCAGTTTAGATCTGAGTCAGCATTATATAATTGCAGTTAACTGTCATTTCTGGAATAGGAACTCTTTGTTTATTACCGAAAGAGCCTAGAAATAATGATTCCCTAATTGTGGCCTAACAGCTAGAACTTGGTTTCTAAATGCCAACTCCTATTAAAAGAAACTAGACTTCTTTGGGGAAATGGCTAACTTAAAGCCTGGGGCAGGAAAGGTATGTGATGAGCTAGGAACATCTTGTGACAGAAAGAAAGTGTTCAAAACAACAACAACAACAACAAAAAGAACATGAGGGCAGCAAGCCAATAAGCCAAAGGAGCCAGGGCCCAGGTTGTATACAGCGCTTGCTTAGCATGCATGAGGCACTGGGTTCGATCCCTGGCACCACATAAAAATAAATAAATAAATAAATAAAAATAAAGGTAGTGTCCAACAAAAAAAAAAAAAGACAAAAGACAAAGGAGGGCTGAGGATGTGGCTCAAGCGGTAGTGCGCTCGCCTGGCATGTGTGCGGCCGGGTTCGATCCTCAGCACCACATACCAACAAAGATGTTGTGTCCGCTGAAAACTAAAAAATATTAAAAATTCTCTCTCTCTCTCTCTCTCTCTCTCTCTCTCTCTCTAAAAAAAACAAAAGACAAAGGAGCTAGCTTGTAGGATCTTGTACTGACCAAGTATGGAAAAATTTGAACACCAAATTGAATATGTACAGTGATAAATTACAAACTCATGAATAAAACAGGAATCTATGAATCCTTACTGATAATAGATAGGTAGATAAATAAGTACATAAATGGGAAAAAAGGGCTTTTTTTCTAGTACACAGACTGATAAATGTGGAAGACACCTGCAGCTGCAAAAGAATTTTGTATTTATATTAAAAATGGGGTTGCAGGGCTGGGGCTAGGGCTCAGTGGTAAAGCACTCACCTAATATGTGTGGGGCACTGGGTTCGATCCTCAGCACCACATAAATATAAAATAAAGATATTGTGTCCACCTATAACTAAAAAATAAATATAAAAAACAAATCATTAAAAAAAATGGGGTTGCAAAAATGCATCAATGAATGCTAAGACAGAAAGTTTGATCTGGAACCAGATAAGAATATGGTCTTAAACAGTTTCTCCAGAAATAGCTTTTTAGTTGCAAGGGGAAAAATAACTAAACAGTGGAGAAATCAAACATCTTGACCATATAACAAATTTAATTAAAAAAAAAATGTAGGATACCTTAGGATGGGATAACCTGCAAAAGACATAACAATCACTTCTATGGTATTCTGAATGGGGATGAATAACCTCTATTAATCATTAGAAAAATCATACTAACTTAAGTTGGAGAATAGTCTATAAATGTATTTTCCAAAAATGTTACCAACATGAAAGCGGAGGAAAAAAAAAAACCTAAAGAACTATCCCCCAATAATAATTAAGTGCAATGTATAATCCTGAATCAGATCTAAACTGAAGGGAAAGGATGCCATAGTGGAGATAGCCAGAACAATTAGCAGAATTGGACAATCTGCAAGATTAAATAAAATGTCTCAATTGAATTTAATTGTATAAATATTTAATTAACTAAATTTGATTACCATAAGAACATAACATTTTTATTCATAGGAAATACACACTAAAGTATTAAAGATAAAAAGGAAAGATTTCTTCAACTAAAACTCAAATGGTTTAGAAAAGGAATGTGTGTGTGCCTATGTATGCTCATACATGTAAAAAAGGAGGAAGAAGGAAAATCAATAATAAAAAAATGACAACTGGTGAATCTTTTTTTTTTAAGAAGAAGGAATATTTTTTAAACTTTATTTTATTTATTTATATGTGGTGCTGAGGATCGAACTCAGGGCCTTGCATGTGCAAGGTGAACGCTTACCGCTGAGCCATAACCCCCACCCCAACTGGTGAATCTTAATAGAGGTAGTATAATAGGAATTTTCTGCATCATGTTTGCAACCTTTCTATTAATGTGATTTTTTTAACTTGTAAAAGTAAGCAGAAAAAAACTGTCTTAATTATACTTGCATTTCCTTTCCTTCCCCTACTGTATCCATGAAGTTGACACAAAATCATTTGATTACATATTCATACTCCTGAAAGACAAGGCCAGTTTTTATTTATTAGCTCTTTGGCTTATTTTCCATAAGGAGCTTAATCTTTTTTTTCCCCCTGAAGTCACCAATTGCTTTCTTTGCCGTTCTTTTAATGAACTATGATGATCATATCATTGTCATTCTCAATGACACACTTCACTGAGAAAAGAAGGTAAGGACATAGATCCCATAACTATTTCCTTCCAGTTCTCAGAGTTTTAACCCATACTCTGAATAGAATGAATGTTTAAGGTCCAATAACAATAGAAAAGTATATAGATCTTGATAACTGATAAAACCATATAGAACATCCATCTCAGTGGCTAAAAAAACATATACTTACCTTCTATTTCTTGCCCAATAGAAAGTCCAGCCCATTTTCGCTAAAAAATAAATGAGAAAAAGAAGCACTTGAAATAAAATCAATCAAAATTAAAGAAATAAGGAAAAGAACAACACATTCTAAGACAAAAATATTGTATGTTGTCATGTATTGAATTCTGCATCCTCTCCAATATGGTGAAGTCTTAGTCCCTGGTACCTGTAAACATGACTGTATTTAGAAATAGGGTCATTGCAGATGTAATCATGTTAAGATGAGATCCTACTGAATTATAGTGGGCCCTAAGTCAATATAACTGGTATTCTTTTAAGAAAAGAAGAAACACACAGACACAGAGAGAATGCCATGTGATGAAAGAGCAGAGACTTCAGTGATGTATACAAGCCAAGGAGCATCAAGGATTGCCAGCAACACTGGAAGTTAGTATGGAACAGACTCTTCCTTAGAACCTTCAAAGAGAGCATGGTGCTGTTGACATCTTGATTTCAGACTTTTAGCTTCAAAAACTACGAGAGTTTTTGTCTTCTGAACTTTCTTTTTTTTATTATTGATATTTTTTATGTTGTTTTAAGAAATACAATTTGTGGTTCTTTGTAACAAAGCTCTGGGAAATTAATACATAGATTAGAGATAACTTCTGAACATCTGCATAAAACACATGAAGCTAGCCTTTTTACAGTGAAGTTGGCCCACTGAGTAGGATGCTTCTCTATACAATACTATGCTCTTGAAGTCTTTACTATATCAGATATTTCAGTGTTCTAAATATACTGCTGCAGTTAGTTTTACTATTTGTATAGTATCATAAAAAGAAATTTAATGCATGAAAACTAAATTACAACTGGTCAGATAATCTATATGGAAACCCAAGAAGGGACTCAAATCATTACATAGTCATGACTATTCTTTGTGTATGAATAAAGAATTTTCAGGTTTTACAGTCATACTTCAGCCTCTCCCTGATTCTGTCTAAAGTAGCAAGACTGTATAAAGGGAAGACAGATTATATGCAGGCAGGAATTTGGGGCTGGCTTGTTATAAATTCAAAATTAGTAATTACTGATAATATGCCAAAGAACAGTGAGAAAAATAGTTTTGGGCTGGAAATCCATAGTTTGCATATTCATCTGAACACTGGATTTTACAGTGTGAAGCTTAGAAGATGGTGCATCATGTAACAAGCACTCTCCTTCCAGCTTTCTCACCATTCTGCTCTTCATCTCCCTTAAAAAAAAAAACTCTTCTATAAAATCCCAACTCACATCTAGCCAACATGAAATACAGGAACATGCTGTATATGTAGTCACATTTAGGCTCTGTACTTTAATCCCCAAACACCATTAAGGGATGATACTGATAGTAACTCTTGTATGGGGTTGTTCCAAGAATTAAATGAGTTAACACATTCAAAAGTACTTGAATAGTGCCTGATCTAGAGTAAATCTTGGGGGAAAATTTTTACAAAGCAGAGACAAAGAGAAATGGCTACCTCAAGCTACTTCTGACTACTGGAATCCCAAAAAGTTCTCTAAAAGCTGGCAAACCATGGGATATCCCAAATTGTTAATCTGCAGAAACAAATGTGAAAAGTAGTCCTAATAATGGAGAGGCATCCAAACAGAAAAAAGGAGAACAGTAAGATTTCCCAAAATTTTTGAGTGTTTCAGGAGATCTTTAATAGTTCCCAAGTGTTTGATCTCTTTCTCTAACCTTAAATAAATAAATAATGCTTAATTTCTTATAAAGAAATAAATCAATGTTTACTAACTAGAAAGAGGTAAGATAGCATTCACATTGCTTAGGAATGTGGGGTGACTAGCCTGGGTAAAATGATAAGTGGGAAATGATACATGCTTGTACCTGTGGTGCTCCATTGTCATGTACTATGAGCACTGGGACCCAAATAGACTCCACAGAACCCACCCCCAGTTATAACTGGAATCACAACCCTTCCAGTTGTTGGGGGAGCCTAGCAAGTTAAATTATAGTTTGAGGTAACTACTTTTTTCATGTTCTTTAGTCTGATACCATTATATTATAAAACTTCTACTATTAGATGTCAATTTTACAAATAAGATTATTTTTATATCATTTCTGTTACCCTGAGAGTTAGCATTAAAATCATTTGACACTATATCTAATGGCTGACTGGTATTACTGCTTAATTTTTAAAAATTAGAAAAAAATCAAGGCAATAAAATGTAGCCATAGTAAAAATATGATAAGAATATATCTTTAAATTACTTATATAATACCTATGTATTTTTCTTAAATATGAATAAATAATTTAGAGAGTGATGCTTGCTTAAAATGAATGGACTCTTGTATGACTTTCAAGAATAGGAAAGAATAAATGAACATCTGAATTACCTGAGGTAGGCTGAATGCAATGCTCCCTGGCACCACTGATGGATGGGTCCTCAGTGTAAATGTGTACCTGTGATTGGGAGAGGTCCTCACAATCACATGCCTAAAAGAAAACCAAAAACATAGTCAGTACTTCATATCAAAGAAAAAGAAAACATAATTTCTAAATATATTTTTTCCCAAACTGATGTCTAATGAGTACCAGATAGAAGTATCGCACCATATGACAGTCCTGAAGAAACAGAATCACAGATTTAGTTTCCAAAAACTATCAGCAATTCAAAATGTTTTCCAGACATAAAGAGCACTCTGGGCCACCAGGCATGGTGGAGCACACCTGTAATCCCAACAGCTGGGGAAGCTAAGGCAGGAAAATCCCAAGTTTGATGCCAGGCTCAGCAATTAAGCGAAACCCTCAGCAATTTAGCAAGGCTGTGTTTCAAAATAAAAAGTCCGGGGAATATTTCAGCAGTAAAGTACCCTAGGGTTCAATCTCCAGTACATACATACATGTTTATACACACAGACAGACAGACAGACAGACACATACACATAATAAAGACCACCTTGGGCCATGGACATATCAAATGGAATCCAGTCAAGTTCAATAGAGTACATCTAATCCAAAAAAATCAACTTCATCACTTTCCACTTTATATAAATCAGAAAACAGGGATTTAGAGTCCTTGATATTAAGTAAAAAATAGATTTCCTCTCCTGAGAATTATTTCACACATCCTAACAAAATAAAGGCAGGAGAACAAGAGATAAAAGAGCTAGAACATAGCAGTAAAAAACAAAGTTAGTTTTTAGAAATATTCATTAAAAAAATTTAACAGACCCTCAAAAGCTAAAACAATAACACTATAAAATAAAAAGATGAAAAGTATGAAAAAATTTCCCCAATGACATCAGCTTTCATGTACATATTAATATTTACAATTTCAAAGAATTTTATGCTAATACCCTACACAAATGCTACTCATAAATACATATATTTATTTTGTAATAATCTTCTACATTAAGAGACTAACAAGGACTGTTTATAAAATAGAAGTTCTAAATTCTGTTATCCAACAGCACCATATTTTCTTTTCCTTTGTGGTGCTGGGAATCGAACCCAGGGCCTCATGGATGCTGGGCAAGTACTTTACTACTGTGGTACACTGCTAGCTCAATTATCATTTTTAAAATTATCTTTTACAGCCAGGCACACAGCACACACCCTGTAATCCCAGCAACTTGGAAAGCTGAAGCATGAGAATCAAGTCCAGCCTCAGCAACTTAGTGAAAAGGAAAAAGGACTGGGGATGTAGGTTGGTGGTAAAGTCCCTCTATGTTTAATCCTGAGTATCAAAAAAATAAAATAATGACAATAATATTAGATAATCTTTTATGATACTATAATTTTAATGCTAAAGGTTAGCATTTCTATACATATTGCTTCAACATATATGAAAACATTTCATAAACAAATTCTCACATTGATTACCTATACTTCAGTTTATTTGTTGAAAGTCTTGTGTTCAATTTAGCATCAAAGAATGTTTAGCACTGGAAATAATGTTAATATAATCAAGTATATAATCAATGCCTCTTAACTCTAAAGCTCAATTAAAATCCTGCTCCTTTGTTCTTTATGTCCCTAGACTGACTTTTGGTACAGCCCCTTCAACTCCTAATCTCTATCAATCTCAGAAGCATGTGTATGGCACAGAACTTGGAAGCAGGGTCCTTGGAAGATTAGTGGGTGATGTGAATCAATTGAAACAAATTATGATGAAAATGCTTTCAAAGATTCCACATTTCTCATGCATCTACCAACTTTAGTATGTCAGATTATCATAGTAATAATGTTCTAAATAGCTAAACTTTATTGAGAGCTTACTTATTTACATGCTAGGGACTATTCTAAGTGTTTTATCTGTGTAACTTAATCTTCACAACTACCCTGAGGAAGATATTAGCATCATGCCCATTTTAAAGATCAGGACACAGAGACACAGAGATGGTGAGCCTGGACCCCAACTCAGACAATCTGACTCCAGAGTCAAACACCTAATAACTATGCTAGCAATGAATCAGATAACCAGTATGTTTAGCTCTGTGAAGAAAATTAATAAAAAATTAAGAGTGATATATACAAGCTATATATGTCTTTTAAAAGTTAGATACAGTAATAATTAAAATGCCTAACTCTCATTTCCTTCATTTTCCAATTCAGGAAGAACAATACAAAAATAATTCTGAAGTTTCCTAAAAATTACTCTTTGGAGTTTCTTAAATATAACTTGCAGGTTAAAAGAAAACAGATACTCACTGGCCAGACTGGAAATCCTTCTCATTCACAACTGCACAGTTGGTTAATGACAATTCATCTGTAGGACATCTTGCAGCTTGCATGCTCTATAAAAATCAATGGTTAAGAAGATAAAATGAAGTTAGGATTTATTTCCTTAAAGATTATCTATGTCTTCCTGAACTGTATTCTTCATCACTTGTAAAAAACCTCTACTGTTTTTCACTCCTAGAATCCCTTCTGTGGTAGACGCAAACCCTTCCTTTGGGAAACAAATCCTCCCTCATTTCATGTGGGTTTATGGGACTGCCAATCACAGAACACACACATATACACTTTAACTCACCCACAGGATTTTATATGTACAGGCACTAAAAGAAAAGCATTCTTTTTGCTGCATTACCATACGGAAGAAGATTTTCTACTCAAAAAAGACAGTAAAATGGTCACAAAGAAAGCAGTCAGCAGAAACATAGACAAATAGCTTTATGGAAACTCAGACTGGACAAAGTTTAAGTCCTTGAAACCAGTCCTAAACAGGTTATAAGACAATAAATAATTTTTTTTGCTCAGCTTATTGGACTCCAATACAATAAGGGGCTTTCCATTCCATCATTTCATTCACAGAAAAGAATGTTTTGTTTTGTTTTTTTTCCTTTTTGGTATTAAGAATTGAACCAACGGGCACTTGACCACTGAGCTACATCTCCATTATTATTTTTCATTTTGAGAAAGGGTCTCGCTAAGTTGCTCAGGACCTCAATAAATTACTGAGGCTGGCTTTGAACTCTCAATCCTCCTACATCAGCCTCTCAAGCCACTGGGATTATACGCATGCACCACTGTGCCTGGCTAGAAAAGAATCTTGGCTGATGAAAGTGTTGTGAAGTTAATTCCACAAATTACAAAAAGCATCTTGTTATAAGAGATCCTAAGTGGCTATGAATCATGTCTCCTACAGATTAAGAAAACCTATCTTTTAAACCTCTTTCAACAAAAATAATTACAAGGAATACTTTAAAAGAAAAACAATTAGTGGCCCTTTTGGTTAGCAGTTACTAGCAAAATGTTCAAATGATGTTTTTAACCAATAACCCCCCCCCCATTGTTCTCTAAGTTTCCGGGGAGCATGACACTAGGACACATTCCTTTTATAAGTGTTCATCCCTCAAATCTCAAACCAAAGCAGATTATTCTTAAATTTGTCTCCCAAACACAAATTTATAGAATAAGATGAATCATTTTTTGCTATGCTTTTAACTAAAAATTTCAAAATCATCATCCCAGTTGTTTTGGGCTAAAGTAGGAAACGTTCACAAGACAATCCTTTGGGATATAAGAAAATACTAGTACTTTATTTATATTTATTTTATATCAATTTTCTCATTTATATATGACAGCAGAATGCATTACATTTCTTATTACACATATAGAGCACAATTTTTCATATCTTTGGTTGTATACACAGTATATTCATACCAATTCATGTCTTTATACCTGTACTTTGTTTGGATAATTATGATCATCACATTCCACCATCATTAATAATCCCATGCCCCTTTCCCTTCCCCTCCAACCACTCTGCCCTACCTAGAGTTCCGTCTATTAAGTTCAAGAAAAAAAAATGATTTCAAAAGTGCAGCCAAATTCCCTCATTTTGATCCAGACACTGACATGCAATTAAAATCAAGTATCAAGATAAACTAAATTTAGGGCTGGGGTTGTAACTCAGTGGTAGAGCTCTTGCCTTGCATTCGTGAGGTACTGGGTTTAGTCCTCAGCACCACATAAAAATAAGTAAATAAATATATTTTTTAAAAAGTTATCACTTGTTAAAAAAAGATAAACTGAATTTAGAAATAGCCCTCTGAATACATACAGCAACATCTTAAAGAATGATGTATCACTTTGCTGTATGTATTATTAATAAAATAAAAATCATGAGATTATTGTACATTTAGTTTTAGCACATCTTTTTTATATGTTAAGTATGGATATATACTGGGGGTACATAAGACATTTTTTAATTTTGGGATTCATGATCAAATGTTTGGAAGTCACTAATTTAGCATATGAAATGAACAGCCAAGATCACAAATCTGCTTGCTGAATGAGATAGCATTTTGCCAAGGTCACACCTTGACCAGGTATCTAACACCCTCCCAGGGTCTCTTTAGCCTGTGAGTTTCTTCCTTTTGTATTCCTTCACCAACCCTCTGCCCCTTGCCTGGGCAATTCCTACTCATTCTACCATTTTCAGCTTAAACATTACATTTTCTAAGTGGGCTTCCTAAACACCTTCCCTACCAACTAAAGAGATAAAATAAACTTCAGTTGGAAGCACCTGACTATATTTTTGCTATCTGCCTACATGTTTGCACTGCATATAAGAAAATAAGTTTCTGAAAGACTGAGACTATATTTTGCTCATATCTATAGTTTCTGGGACTAATACCTGGTCTGACAGTCAGTATTCATTAAACACCCATTAAATATATAAATTTATTGATCAATACCTATCTGTCTCAACTGAAGAATAAACAATCCAAGGAACATGAATGCAAAGTACTGATCACTTCATGGTTATTTAGGAAGTAATACAATTGTTCAAAGTTACATAGAACTGATTTTGCCAACTGTGGGCAGTGGCATACACTGGTAATCTCAGCTACTCAGGAGGCAGATACAAGAGGATCCCAAGTTCAAGGGCAGCTTCAGCAACTGAGTGAGACCATGTCTCAATAAAGGGGGGTGGCTAAGGATGTAGCTCAGCAGTAGAGGGCCCCTGGGTTTAATCCCCAGTACTGCAAAACAAGCAAACAAAAAACCAACCAGATATTCCCAAGTAATAAAAAAAATTTACAAAATGCCAAGTTAACATTTTCATTTGTAAACTTGTTTGCTTGTCAGTGTCCTTTAACAAAGAGAGAATAAAAATCTATAGAAGTCATCTGGCTAACCTACTAAAACAGATGCTGCGAGCAAAAGGCCTCCCTACTGGAATCTAGAAGCATCTGTGTTTTTATGGTAAGCCAAGCAGGATATCTCATTTTTTTCAACAAAGTGTAAATCCCTATAAATAGTAGCTGCCTACTTACCACAGTAATGCCAAGGGAAAATTCCATAATTTTTCTGACATTGACCCTGCCTCTAGGAAACAGTAATAAAAAACAACCACTATAGCTATACAAAATTGTTAGTCAGTTTTATGTAAGTTTAGTTATCTGAGTTACTGCAATACTGAACTGCCTAAACAATGAAGAAATGTTTTCATTATAATAATCTGAATTATCAAAAATTATAAACTACTTGCTCTCTAAAGAATGAAAATTCCACCAGGCACAATGGCCCATTTTTATAATCCCAGCAATTTGGGACTCAGCAAGAGGATCACAAATTTAAGGCCAGACTCAGCAACTTAGCGAGGTCCTAAGCAACTTAATGAAAACCTGTCTCAAAATAAAAAGGGATGGGGATGTGACTCAGTGGTAAAGTGCCTCTGGGTTCAACCCTGAGTACCAAAAAAAAAAAAAAAAAAAAAAGAATGAAAATTTCAAGGGAAGGGGAGGGGGGATAGTAGGGGATAGGAAAGGTAGCAGAATACAACAGTCACTAATATGCCATTATGTAAAAATGTGAGTATGTAACAGAAGTGAGTCTGTATTATGTATTTGGGGAGTTCAAAACCCAATTGAGTCGAATGTATGAAAGATGATATGTCTTGAGCTCTGTAATGTTTTGAACAATCAATAAAAAAAAAAAAGAAAAGAAAATTTCAACAAGCCTTTAATAGAAACTTTAGTGAAAATAATTATATCATTATTTATTGAGAGCCTTGAAAATACAGAAAGGCAATTTGCTTCTGTTCATCAAACAAAAATTGAGGGAATTTAGCCAGGATTCCTTTGGGCAACATTACACTGCTTTAGCATTTAAATAATACACCCTTTACCTAAAGGACCACTTTAAAAATTGAATGATTTAATATTTAATGCTTTATTGTTTACCAAATAATTCAGGAGGACAAATTCAACAGAAAGAAAAACAGAATGTGGTTCCTGACTTATTACTAAAGGCTTATTTTGAGTTTGAAATCACTAAGTTAGCACAATTAGCTACCCCTACCCCAACTGTAACCTTGGTGCATCTGCCAGTCCTTCCTCTGTGGTGCTTAAGAGACTGGTTAAGAGACATCTCTTGAGAGACACATATCCCCACAGGAAAGAGAAGGACAAACCACATGAATTTGCCCCAGGGCCAGCTCAGCTGACAATCTCACTTACATCTCCTCTAAAAGGATCTTTCCTAAAAAATAAATAAATTTTAGAACTGCACTTTCTGATAAAGGAACCACCAGATATAAGACTGAAAATAAATTAAAATTATGGGGGCGGGGGGAGCAGGGGATCATAGCTCAGTGGGTAGAGTGCTTGCCTCAAATGCACAAGGCTCTGGGTTTAATCCCCAGCACCACCAAAAAAAAAAAAAATTAGGACTGGGGATGTAGCTCAGTGATAAAGAATACTTACAGGCATGTGGGAGGCTCTGGGTTTAGTTTCCAGTACCACAAGGAAAAAAAATTAACAAATAATTCAGTTTTTAGTTAGATTAGCCATATTTCAAGTGCTGCTAGTGGCTATAAAGTTTCATGGGGTAGTGCTGGTTTAGAACAAACAAAAAAGACCACATGTAATACCCACCTTCAGCCTATAGAATCCCTCTGCTATAGATTCTTATAATACTTTCTCTTAAAATTCTGAAGCCATGTAGGACTAGGAGTGAATGGCATAGAAAAAGTTGAACCTGTGTGTCCTACAATTATCTCTCCAAGAGTCTCTAGGGATACTATTAACACTCCCTATCTTAGACCGATAACTATTCATACAATGAATGAACCTTCTGATATCATTTAAGTCTTTAAATTCCTTTAATTTATAAATTATTGAAAAAGGAAAAAAGTTGTTGGGTAGAAACATACAAAAAAAAATGTAAAAGACTGACAACGTCAAATATTGGCAAAAATGTGATGAAGTTTCCTATAGTTAATGTCACCCAGCAAGTATACCCCTGAATTTTTCACCAAGGAAATGAAGACATGTCCACAAAA